GCATTGCTCAAGCCCCACAGCATTGCTCAAGCCCCGCAGCATTGCTCAAGCCCCATAGCATTGCTCAAGCCCCATAGCATTGCTCAAGCCTTCGCAGCATTGCTCAAGCCTTCGCAGCATTGCTCAAGCCCCGCAGCATTGCTCAAGCCCCGCAGCATTGCTCAAGCCCCGCAGCATTGCTCAAGACCAGGGTCATCGAGCGTTAGTTCTAACTAAACTTTCACATCTTGAATAATCGTTCAGAAATTTTCTCACTCACGGTTGAAAATTGCGCACACGAAAATAAGTGGCAACGGTTATCAACATCGTTAACAATGCACGAATCGTAAATCAATGTGCCCCAAGTTTTCCAAATTATAGATCTATAAGAGAGCGCATTGCAATAACTAGCATCTCATGTGAATATCCATAGTCAGCACGCTCGAAATGTATTTGTTGATAACAACGCAGTTTTTACGCTGTATGACAAAAAGGGTAAAGAAAGAAAGAGTAAAAATAGAACTTCGTTATCGCGGCGTACTCCTGATTGACTGCACGAACATCAAAACTCTATGCAGTCAACTGCACGAACATCAATTCTTGACTGCATCAAGAATTGCACGAACATCAAAACATGGGAAGCAAATGGTCACACCTAATTTTTTGCTAAGTAGCGCAGTTGCCCGGTTCACTAACGGTAACCGCAAATGAAGAATATTTCTCGGGCAAGCAAGTGCGATAGGCAATACTGCCTTGTCCGCTCTATTATGCGCCATTATAGCTGAAGCGCTAGTAAACATTTGGCCACTAAACTAACTATTATGCGCCAAACGAGAACTGCACGTCGTGCACGTACTAGACGTGACAAAAACTCAAATGTGTCACTTTCCGAACCCTGAATACGTATTTTAAAGCATTGCTCAAGCCCCGCAGCATTGCTCAAGCCCCACAGCATTGCTCAAGCCCCACAGCATTGCTCAAGCCCCGCAGCATTGCTCAAGACCAGGGTCATCGAGCGTTAGTTCTAACTAAACTTTCACATCTTGAATAATCGTTCAGAACTTTTCTTTAGGTTGAAAATATCACACACGAAAACAAGTGGCAACGGTTAACGGCGCATTGTTAACAATGAACGAATCGTAAATCAATATGCACGAAATTTTCCAAATTATTGATCTATAAGAGTGCCCATTGCAACAACTAGCATCTCATTTGAATATCCACAGTCAGCTCGCTCGCAATGTATTTGGTGCTAAAAACGCAGTTTTTAGCGCATTTTCTAATTTATGGAAAAATGCTCTATTGTGCTCGTCATGTCCGTCCGTCCGTCCGTCCGTGACTTCACGTTTTCGTCGACGAGAAAATGCGCTCTCTGTCAGTCACTGCAGTGAGTACTCAGTTATATTTTTTACTCTGTAGAGAAAGAATTAAAATAGAACTTCGTTATCGCAGTGAACCCTTGATTGACTGTAAAATTGCATGGACATCAGAACATGGGAAGCAAATGGTCACACCTAATTTCTTGCTGAGTACCGCAGTTGCTCGGCTCACTAATGGTAACCACAAATAAAGAATATTTCTCGGGCTGGCAAGTGCGACAGGCAATACTGCCTTGTCCGCGCTATTATGCGCCAAACGAGAACTGCACGTCGTGCACGTACTAGACGTGACAAAAACTCAAATGTGTCACTTCCCGAACCATGAATACATATTTTATTTCTTTGTATTGTGATTTATTGGACAAAGATGATGCATTCTGTTATACCTGTACTTGATAAGAATGCCGCATCTTTTTGCATCGGTCCTGCCTGGTCTTGATGCGACCTTAAATTATCTATGTTTTCCGTTAAGAGTGAGTTGTTGCCTAATTTTACGCACCTACTCTCAGGAATGAATTACATGACACTGCATGATTTTCTTCTAATTAACCTGAGTTACTGGACTGTTATCGACCAGTAACCCATGGACACATGTATGGTGATGTGTGCAGTGCAATGCGATGACACGAGTTGTGGACGACATTAATCCTACGTGGCCTCTCAAAATAATGCTTAGATACTGACGAATCTCTTGGAAGACTTGGCGCATTCNCTATTATGCGCCAAACGAGAACTGCACGTCGTGCACGTACTAGACGTGACAAAAACTCAAATGTGTCACTTTCCGAACCCTGAATACGTATTTTATTTCTTTGTATTGTGATTTATTGGACAAAGATGATGCATTCTGTTATACCTGTACTTGATAAGAATGCCGCATCTTTTTGCATCGGTCCTGCCTGGTCTTGATGCGACCTTAAATTATCTATGTTTTCCGTTAAGAGTGAGTTGTTGCCTAATTTTACGCACCTACTCTCAGGAATGAATTACATGACACTGCATGATTTTCTTCTAATTAACCTGAGTTACTGGACTGTTATCGACCAGTAACCCATGGACACATGTATGGTGATGTGTGCAGTGCAATGCGATGACACGAGTTGTGGACGACATTAATCCTACGTGGCCTCTCAAAATAATGCTTAGATACTGACGAATCTCTTGGAAGACTTGGCGCATTCACTGGTGTTGGGGGAAGAAGAGCTACTTTATCGTTCATTTTCTTCCGCATCTTTTAATTGTGTATAGATATTTATTGATTTTAATTAATATGGTTATTATACTCGTTCAATGTAAATCTTATCATAATCAATGGAGTCACGGCATGTCATCGTACGTCCAACTCGCTTATGAGTGTTTGCTTTGCTTGCTTTAGTATAGATCTGGATTAAGCTGGAAAACATAACAGCTTTTACAAACCTGGAGATATTTTTGATTCGTTTAAATAAGCATAAAAAGTATTTTCTCACTTGTGAATTTCATGCGTGTTTGAAGTGATTTCCGCGTTATATAATTCAGGGTACCTTGACATGAGTTAAACTCTACTGTATTCCAAGAACTCTGTTATTCTGCCGTCAAGCACTGAAAATGAAAGTGAAGCCATCAATATCTTCTAACGCGCTTCTCTTGCGACGCTGATCTAAAGAGAAACTTCAGGACTCAATCGCTGGCCAAGGTACGGCCGACGCTCGGCCGGCCGGTGCTTGCTTGGCTCTATTGCTTGGCAAGAAAGGTAGCGTATCAGGCTCGTCTAGAATAGAAATACCGTACTGGGCAGAATAACTGAGCTAGTGACTTCTCTACTTGATCATTGGGTGATCTTATCAGTTGACGTACATCGTCACGCCCAGCATCTACTTCATCCTAGACCTGCTCTTATCACTTGACGTACATCGTCACGCCCAGCATCTACTTCATCACAGACCTGATCTCTTAGGTTGACGCGCGTCGTCTGTTTGTGAAGCAATTACTGCCGTATTTTGAGATTTCCTTCTTGCTGTGCATTTTTGACAGCGAGACAAAATGATATTTTTTCAAGCGAAAAGCCGGGATTTCTTGATGCGCTGCTATTGTCCCCGTTTTTAGCGCTTTATCTCATTTATGAAAAAAATGCACTATTATGCTCGCCATGTCCGTCTGTCTGTCTGTCTGTCCGTCCGTGACTTCACGTTTTCGTCGACGAGAAAATGCGCTCACTGTCACTCACTGCAGTGAGTACTGAGTTATATTTTTTCACTCGAAGTGTGATGTTCATCAAAATACGCATAATCTTGCTTTATAAATCATTCGGCTAAGCTCCCTCACCGTCCTTTGTGTTTCAGCGTTATAATTCACCCGAAAGTTTGAATTCTGTGAAGTGTTTCGGGCGGTGAGTCATCGCTTTTCCCGGACACGCGCGCGCTACTCCGAAGAAGTAACAGCCAATGAAAAAACATTTCCACTGTCCGCTACTTTCTCTATCCCGTATTTTTTTCATTAACTGCACCACCACGCGTATTGTGCACTCGATTGATGCTCAATTCCTGCATTTGCTGTCCAATGTACTTTATTTTCATGTAGGTAT